CAGAGAACTGATCCAAAAATGAAAGAATTGGCTCTTGAATTACAGAAAGCTGGTGATAAACTTGTCACTGACTATGGATCAAAGGTTCAGGTATAGTACTCTTAAAAAGCTCATAGATAATTAATGAGCTACTAGGCCAATAGAATGAGCCTATTTGGTCACATGCATGGACCTTTATATCTGATAAAACTTATTAGTATTCTTTCTTTATTAGTATTCTTTATATAAAGAATACTAATAAGGGTGACCTTTATCAGATATAAAGGTCCATGACCCTAGCAAAGGTCTCAGGTTTGAAACCTGATCATTGACCAATGCAGGATGTCAACCAATTGCAGTAAACAGCCAAGAGCGTTTCTATTTTACTTTATGCGTATTCAATGTGGGATGACAAGAGTGCTTTGTAAAGTGATTCGCACATGATCAGTTTGCCCCATTTATCTCTGAACATATTTTTAGGGCAATTTCTCCAAGAATTTTAACGGATTTGAGTTTCAAATTAGTGTTGGAGTTTTTTAAGCCGTTTAAAACACTCGAGATTGTGTTTTATCAGGTATAAAGATTCTCACCTTCGGCTCAAATCTTTATACCTGATAGAACACTCTCTCTCGTGTTTTAAACTACTCAAACACTTTGATTTAACATGACCACAACTCTGGTGCAAATCCTAGACAGGATCCTGTAGGATCGAGTAGGATTTTATTTAGGAATGGGATCCTATTGTAGTCAATCAGGATCCTGGTTAGATTTGTGTCAGGATCCTACATGTTGGGTCCTAGTTGGCATGCTAGCCAGGATTTGCACCAGGGAATATTTTTAATGTTTTATAATTATAGGTTAATATTATCAAATATTAATATAATATAATTGTATTGTAATGAATTAGTTGAATTTTGCAACCTCCGCACTGTGTTAGCCTTAATTGTGTATAAAATAATTATGCAAAATTTTAGATAAAACTTATGAGATTTTCAATTTTTTTCTATACTCACAGATCTCTTGCATTTGCATAGGATGAGCTCTGATAAAAGACTTAAGGCTAACAATGTGCAAAAAAATCACTAAAATGATTTATTGTGTATGTGAGCCTCTGTTTTATCATAGTAAACTTTTATTCTATTGTTTTCCTATTAAATAATTCAGGAAATAGTACTAATAAATAGGTTTTAGATCTTGTAATATTGATGTATTAATGATATATTTTACRCAGGATGTTGAGGGCAAACTATTACAGCTTGTCAAACAAGAGGCTGYAAACTTAACYTATGAAAGATTCTCAGTGGCTGTCGATGACCTCGTTGGAAAAGACAAAGACTGGACAACATTTGTGTTTGCTTTCCATGTTGGAAAAAGGATCTGCAAGCATTCACARGAAGGTTTTCAATATGCAAGGAATTACTTCCAACAGTATATATCACAGTCTTACAGTCAGACATTGAGAGACTCTGGAGGCGTGGTGAGTAATTTGTAATGTACCCTGTGTTAGACTTATATTTCTAGTAGGAGGGTTCGCGCTACTGATTGACTTGAAGAGTGGAAATTTAGCGTTCAAACCGGCACATATATTAAAGTTAAACAATTAAATTTTGCCATTCACACAGCAGACAATTGAATTCTTCTTTTATTAGCCAAATAATAATGTGCACGTTGAACGATTGGGTGGTGCCTTTATTGAATCCATCAGGCGTCCCTTGTGTACGCATGACTATCACCTAGTAGTTCTCCATGTGAGCCTTTTTGGTCTAGTCATGACAGCAGCTGATCAAGGTGTTTTCAAAAGGGGGGTGTCTGACCTCCCAATGCTTTAAATGATACACCTTACATGGTAGCCTATCCTAAAATTCAACACAAGATGTTTGAGAAGAAATGGCACTGTTCTAGTGTATCATTGTACAGTAGTACAAAATGGTATTTGCACCCTCCCCATAACAGTGATAGCAYCTAAACAGCACCAATCAACAATGGATATCTGAAGGGGGGGAGGGGGAATCATTAATATGTGAAGCCATGACTGACAATGTTTAGGGGAATTTTGAAAGTTTTCACCCATCCCTCAAGGTRTTGGGATTCCTGTGTATGRCCCATAAGGCTTTGGGAAGGAAAYATGTATTCATTTTAATGTTACTTTCTATTGTTTTTTAGGAAACGTTTTTGAGAACACGAGGATCATCAATGCCACAGTGAATGAAAGAATATAATTACACASAGGAACTCCAACCAGGAGTTTTTTGTAAAACTGAAAATATCACATAAGACTAATTTAAGATAGACCTGCCTGTCTAAAACTAGGCTCTTTATCCAGCCATGAAGAATTAAGGTGAGGTCAAGACTACAGTCAAACTCTAACTAGCATACAGAGGCTGGTGATACAAAGGATGAACATCAAATCCATACTAACAGGTTTCTCAGTAGTAATAAAAGTAGGCATTTAGGAAAATTACCCGTCAAAATAGGAAAAGTACACTCAGCTAAATAATTTGTGAATAAATTCTTTATTCTAAAGTGCTACTTGCATGAAAATGGCCTTATTTCAAAACTTCAAGCAATACAAATAAATGACTGTCATTTATATCTATTAAAAACAACACATCAGAGAAATTTTGATTCAAAAGATGCAAGAACAAAAGGATTGAGTAAATGATGTCATCTACTCCAACATTTTTTGACCAAATTATTAAGGATTTGCATCAATATTTTCTTGAAATCTGTTGCTTCATGATTATTACACCCATATGGATAGGTCTATTTGATTTCTAAGTCTTTTCTAATGTTTTGCAATTTTCGTCCAAGTAGCCCTTTAAGTAGCTGGCAATTAACTAAGCTACAACTGGGGATTTTTGCCAGCTGCCGTCCTCTACTGAGAACCCTGCACTAAATCTATGGTGTGGATGGATTTTAACTGGTGGATTACCTTATCCAGCCTTTGCACAACCATCCTCAGGTACTGTATTTGAGCAAAACTCTGATCTTTTTCTCTTAATATGTTATACTTCTATGACTGTCTGGTAAGATGCATCATGGGATTGGTAAAAATGCCTTTGATAACATTAAAGGCCCAGTTTGCACCATTATGCTTTGTGCGCCTCTGTTATTGTTATGATTTACAGCCTTTTGCAAAAATTATGAGAATTGTCTAAATGTCTAAATATCATAATATCCATATCCATATATTGTCCAGAACACGCGGGTTTGCTAGAATAATTCATTGTTGACATCGAGAAAATATTCAGAACTACGGATAAGTCCGTCACCGCCGAAAAAAACTAAACTACAAAGACAAAGGACAAACGGGAATCGCGTGGGATTACCCATCATGCAATTGATATTATGATATTTAGATATTTCAACAATTCTCATAATTTTTGCAAAAGGCTGTACGCCAAAATACTTTTAGAATCCAAATACCATCATAAAACAAATTTCAGATGACTTTTTGACTGTATAAATGAGTTTCAGCAAGCTTCATTCTGTTTAAGATAGTACTCCTTCTCCATAAATTTTCTACAGTTAATTAACATAACTATTGAGTTTGGGCTTCCTGTGGATACCTTTATCAATACCATGATGCTTTACACCAAAATAAGCATGAAGCTATTAGAGGAAATAATTATTATGTTCCTCGTGCACAATGGTTCCGTGTAACTACGCATTTTTACTCATATTTTGATTGCTTTAGTTTGTCAATTAGTCAAAGAATTATAACGAGCTCATAAAGAATTATAACGAGCTCATAAAGGCTGATTTAGACGGTACGATTTGTCGCGCGCGACTTGTAGTATACGATTTTCCTACTACAAGTCGTAGGATTTTAAGCAGTGGTTCAAAAACCTACTACAAGTCGTAGGTTGCGTACGACTGTTGTAGACAAGTCGTAGGGGCATTTACACTGCGCGATTCAAGTCGTATACTACAAATCGCACGAGACAATCGTGCCGTGTAAATCAGCCTTAATACATCAAAACGAAAGTGGGTGACACTTTCTGGTAATTACAAAAGATTGGTTTCGAAGCAGGCTTTCGTAGTAGTTAACAAAGAGTAGTTATTTCGCCATTGTGCAATTTTTCAGAATGGCTTAATTTATTGGTTATAAGAAAAGCTTTATCATTGAAATACTTGAGATGCAATGATAAACAATATACCTTTAGACTAATGGCTTCAGACATCTTAAATGCCTGAAAATACTRCCAAGTTCTGCTAATTCTATTGTTTTCTATTGTWCAGCTGACACTATTTAGTAGYAAATCRTRCAAGTGTTACACACTTTCARATTGAAGTCATTAAACCCTTGAAACACGTGACAGTCAAACAGACAAAGAGCGTGCTAGGGTGTATTAGACAGGTGTAAAACCTATTTCGCGGATGTTTTGAATTCAATCTAAATACGTGAAATGATATTTGACTAGTAAAGGTTGATAGTCAAATAGAGGCAAAAGAAAACAATGGAATTAGTTGGTACTAAGGTGCGTCAGAGTCGTATCTGTTTCACGGTTTTTATCTGTTTCACTCTAGCTAGTGTTTGCCCTTTTAAAGTGGTTGATTTGAAAACACACCGACGCCATTCATTTTTAATATATGCTACAAAAGACACTAAACAGCCCAAATAAATCAAAATCTASTAAAAAATTGGAGCCCCGTTAATCCGACCAACGAAGGGACATAAAAGAGTCAACTGTTAGCTTCTTGGATTTTGTTTTCGGTCGGAATTTGACTATTRTGATGAATGGGCGAGAGCAGCCTCACACGGCAARTTCTAGTGAGACTGTTGAGTTGTGTAGTGCAGGTGTTTCAGTCGTTATAAATATTTTTTTCAAGGATTTACAGAAAGTACTGCAGTGCATGCTTTATATTATTTGAAATAGAGACACTATTCGTGAAAGACTATTTGCCATTTTACACTACACAACGTTTGTCTACAACTATCGGCATGCAACTACCCGCCATAATTCACCCTTACAACACAAATGTCATAGGGATTCAAAGCAATTATGTAAGGGCCGTTTACACTTGCTATTTTTGCAGGKAGAGTTTCGTCACTTTGCTATGCGCGTAACTCAAATCGTACGTCTAAACAGCCTTGCGATYGTTGCGTGGATTGCCTTTTTTGAAGTAATAGCAAAATCTCGAAACATGTTYAAAACTCAGGCGATGGTCGTGCGTCGATTGCAGAGCTGTTTACACTTATGACTTTAGGTGCACTTTAAAAGGTTGTACATTTGATGTAAATATTATCAAATTTTACATCATTTTGGACACTTACATAATATTTACATCAAATTTACAACCTTTAGAGAGCGCGATTTTTTCCAGTGTTGACGGGCCTTAATTAATAGTTAATTAATAGTTCTCCACGTGTTGTAGCCACGTTTTAAGTATGACTTGTCTTGATACTATGCGTTGCTATTGAAGAGTTGAAAAACACAATATATAGAATTTGTTAAGTTGTTAATAGCAATCATTTGAAGATTTGTTTTTTATATAACTGAAAATTCAGTTCAGCGCTTTGCTATATTAGCAATAAAAAAATATTGATCAACAATGTCTCTTTATTCTTATTATAAGTAAAGCATGTCTCTGAACACGTCACTAGGGGGAAATTTAGAAAAATACAAAGGTTTCCTTTCAGGGTCTGAATGGGGTTAACCGACTAGCGACAAATGGACAAAATAACTACTGACTAGCGAAAAATTTGAACCAGATTTGCTGACTACCGACATTAACAAATTTACTGACTGGCGACATTTTCCAATATTCAAAAATGTTAGCTCCGTGAATACAAGCTTTTTTTTATTTTTGAAGCAACTATATTCKAAATTTTCCGCGGAAAAAATAAATTTTGCTAAAACCATTTTAGATGCATTTAAACTTAATGTTTATCAACTTTTTTTAAATAACCGACAACCGACAAATGCCTAGAATTTTAACTGACTAGCGACAAATGCCTGAAATTTTAACTGACTACCGACATTGAGACCCCCCCATTAAGACYCTGTCCTTTGTCTTTTCCCCCGTATGACGTCACAGGAGGAAAATTAGAGTTTRTAAACCCCTCGRAAGACGGAAGAACCCGAGGTGATCATTACAAAGGTACACTTGTCTTATGGGGCGTTTTTAAACCGCATATTCTTAGGTGTGCTTACGATCAATCATCGTTTTTTATCCATAACTGGGTACGATCCTCGATGGTTTCTTATCAGCCATGTACTAAATCAGGGGGTTAGCTATTCCGGCCAAGACTGAAATGCATTTTTTTGGTTTTGCATAAAGCCGGCCGTAAAAAAAGTCCATACATTATTACAATCAACTTATGTTGCGTTAATGAACAACTCTACGTATCTCCAGCAATACTTTATTGAAAAAGCTAAAAGTCCCAAGCTTTCGGACGATCGTCCATCATCAGGGTGATCAGAATAGCATAAAATTACAATATATATATAACTATCTTAAATTATGTTGCGTTGCTAACACTGAAATGACGGAAAGGAATTCCATTAATTAAAACGATGGGAGAAACTTGTACTTGGAGCCAGGTTGGTCGTTTCTACGCATATCAGAAAGTCAGAAAGGACAAGCAGCCTCAAGCACTATCACCGACCAATCGTTTGTTGTTTTTTTTAATGACCTCTTGTGGAAAGTTGTTTTCAAATGGGTTCAAAGAGCAAACATGGCGAAGAGAAATTACTGAAGGKGTGATACACTGCTGCAATACGTTTCGAAAAGTAGATTGCATGTGCAACCGCGGCTACGCGCAATTAAAAAAGAAAAGTTGCGAGAAGATTTGTGACACGGYGTTTCAATTTGCTGGGAAATTGCTCTATAACAGATAATGCTCAACTGGTAGAGCTTTGAGCATGCGTAAATGCTGCGACAAAGACCTGTTTGACAGCATTAAAACCTGTTYCGCTATCGATACCTGTTTGATGGTATTACATTAATTTCTTGACTTTTTTAACGGTCTTTAAAACCGGTCAAACTTGTTTGATAGTACGGCGTCCGAGGAACAAATACAACAGGTTGCTGCAACAGAGGCCAAGAATACAGATAGATTACCAAACAAAAACCAGCCAAATGTGCTACAAATTCATGGAAAAAAATAAACTTTAAAATAGTTTTATACTTATAGAATTTATTCCCCTTGGTTTTATGAATTGACTCTGATATTTTCCTTGAAAAATGTTTTTGTTGGACCTACGGAAAAGCAATACAATGTTTGCAAATAAAARTGACTCCATTCAGAGAAACTAGCATGTTTCAGCTCTGATTTCAATATTTTAATATGCTTATACAGATATCATATTCTCCTAACATTCCGTGAAATTTTATTTATCATATAATTATCTATGAAATACCTATATTTCTCCATTGTGTAAAGTTGATATTTTCACTATTGTAAATATCATGTTATTTCCACTAGCGAAAATAACTCTATCTCCGCGCGCCCATGTAATATCCTCTATGAGTGTTTAGACTAAGCTTGTAAAAGACACTGAAAAAGGCTYAACACAGACTTAACACACACACAAATGTAGAGCTACTTATGAAAACGTCAACCTGTCCGCCATTGCGCGCGACAAAATCTGGGGATCATATCTTTATCAAGTTCACAAAATGCTATTAGATTGCGAAATTGTTGACACAAATATAATTGCATTTATCTTCCAACATCCCATGATATCAATTTGTTTATAAGAAGCTTTCTGAAAAACACGAAGAGATACGCATCAAATATTTAGAGCGCGGGWAAAACCGGTTGTGCTCAGTTTYCCTGGCGGGATAAAACCAAGTCGTACAAAACATTCCCATGTTTGGTAACAAATCTCSCWGGAATGGGAGAACGCGCAAAAATACGAGCAATTTTAATTTGCGCAAATGTTTYAAAAATATTAGCGCGAAATAATTAAGCACAAAAGCAAAATGATGATTGAGGCAAAGTATTATCACACTAAGATACGTCTGTGAGTGGGTGGAAGAGGCCTGCACTTGTTTAATAGTGCTACACTCATTTATTTATCAGTTCCGAAAYAAACAATTACAACTTGTTTTGGAAAGTCAAATTTGAAATTTTCATATTGTTTTAAATATACACCAAAACGCGCGACGTTTGAACTTACCAGTTTCTTATTTCATTGAAAATTTCTCGTTTTCAACTCACTGTTCGTATATCGCGCGGTGTTTTTGGCAAATTAAACTTTTATAGTCAAGATTGTCATKAATTTTTAACGATGTAAACGCGGATCAAAGCAGCACAGCTATTAGACTGTACATTGGCCAATCGCTTCAGTTAGGRGTTCAGAGCTCAGCGTGTGCGGGTCTGCGCTTTGGTTATTTTTTTTTCCTGGGATTCAGTRCAAACAGTCTTTTCAAGTGCCGAACATTTGAAATCCTCTCTCTTATAAAAGGTACTTGTATTCGTAGTTTTCTTCAATATGTCATGTTTTTATCAATTGAATTCATAAATTCTCGCTTGGATTACACATTTTGGGTTTAACAACAAGCTCMCGAAGAAAGTAGCACAATTAACATGAATTTTAAAGATGCATGTTAGAAAATAGCGATACTTTAAATACGAGACTAAAATACTAAAGGAAACTGTAGATAAACTCTAAACTTTACATGTTTGTTAGATATATTGTTTTAAGATCGCATTTTGTTAGGTATTAAACAGCAGTGTTAAGAACTGATTCTCATTAGTTATCTAGGATATTAGTTTATTTAGTTTTCCCTTTTAATAATAATAATAATAATAATAATAATAATAATAATAATCTAAGCTTATAAAGCGCTTATAAAACTTTTTTTAATGCAATTAGTGAAGCTATTTTTTAACTACAACAGAATTTCGACTTATTTCGATGTTTCTAGTCCATCTTACACATATTATGTGCAAAACCTTTGTCAAATACTTGATTGAAATTTATCGCGGAGCTAAAACTAATATTACTAGTCAGTCCTTGATGAGAAGTAGTTGGGTTCCCTGTGGCGCTCATATCGTTACCATGGAGACTATAGTAACATTTGGCTTAAAGTTATAATCCAGTTAGCCGGTCTAGCGTCCATTTGAATCGAGTCTGTGACAGTGTAAACATCRAACGTTAGAAAAACACAGGGGAAATGACTGACATAAGGGCAATGTCTTCGACTAGTGAGTATATAACTAAGATTTCCAAATTCTTTGGCATTTACACTCTAAAGTATTGGAATTCCAGGCATTGGGCGAAGTATTGAGACATGATACCCGAAAAGTATTTATTTTATAACAGTAGATTACAGGTCTCCACCAGCTAAAATTCAAGAGCAAAAAGTGACATTCTAATATTTAATATCGACTTTTATGTTTGAGTCTAGAGACTCCAATAGATTCGAATCTAAATACGAAATTTCATTACTTTGTCAAACGTTTGATATTTTTTCTTTATTTTCTTTTTATATGGTAGTGACATTAAAGGGACAAAACCTGCACTTGTTGAAGTAGATGTTATCATTTAGATAGAAACATTTTTGCACGATTTGGTACATTTTCAGCTTGCTTCATGCATTTCGAAAAACAACGAACGAGTACATGCTCTAGTGACTTCAGACAGTGGTTTTCAGAACCAAGTCGCTTTTAGTAATTATTCAACTATAGTTTTATAGAAAATTTTTTAGAACATGTCATATATGCTTTTCTTGGAATATTCTTAGTTTTGCCTGGTTTGGGCATACAAAGATCTTTAATTTACTATAAATTTTTGAGTAAATTGAGTTTTATAAGGAATAGAAAGAATTTCACTTCTTTATTATATTTTTCACACTCAGATCCAGACTCGTCTTCTGATTGGTCCAGCYCTGTCACCAGGACAACAAGTAAAAGCGCGGGCTTTCCTTTGAAGAGAAAAGACCCTCCGTTTGCCTTTTTAAATTTCGTCGAGTTATTGGGCATTACTCTACGAAAAAAGGACGTTTTGAATGAAAAATTACCCCTTATGGAAGATAAAAACAGGTAAGATGGCTTTATACGCGCTTTTGTGGAAAAAAATCCCGAAAAATGGTATGAAAAGTGGTCCAATAAGCGCAAATTCCCGGCCCTTCATTTCTTCAAACTTCTTGTGAGGCTGGTGTCCCAAAAGATACCTAGTGTTGCTACGTACAACCTTTTTGAAGRAGTTCTCTCGCTTTTTTTCTAGTTTCTTTGCCAAGTTGCTGAATGGTGCAATAGCTGGTGTTGTTGGCGTTTCATGTACTTTTCCACTCGACTTGTGCAAAACAAGACTACAAAACCAGCTGAATAATGGCGGACCCAAACTCTACAAAAACTTGTAAGTGTCCCTGAATAATATTTTATTATATAGAGTCATAAATCCAGATGAGAGTTAGGTTATAATCTAAACCTTTGTAGTATTTGTTAATTATATTATTACATAATGGAGTTTTAGAGTGATTTTGTTAATAATTTGACATTTCTTGTACTAGTCGAGATGTTCTTTTCCAAGTTGTTAAAACAGAAGGGMCAAGAGGCTTATATAAAGGTAAATTAAAATGTGACATGATTAAGATTATGAAAAAAATTACACAAAAATAGATCTTTAAACAGTGTCAAAGTCTTAACTAAGACATTAATTATGATTCAATTATCTTAATCCATTATGATGTCACATCATCAAAACATTGTATAAAGAGTCCAACTTTCCTAAATTTGTTTTTGAACATCTTATTTCCCCAATGTAACCATACTATGAAGTTATTATAAAATATAGCAATTGATATTTTGATTGGCACCTGTCATTCAAATTGTTAAACCTCAATCAAAAATACTAATCAAAAATAAATAAATATTGCGGCAATGCTATGCTCAGATTAGAGCGGATTTCGTATGAGTGGGACACCGTTACCGCACGGTGAACCAATGGGGCACTAGAATTTGGTTACAGTACGGTTACGGTCACAGTACAGTACCGTCCGTTTCCCACTCATACAAAATTGACTCTTGAATGAAGGTATATTAAATAATGTTGAACTTCATTTAATTGTGATTAATTTAGGCCTGGGTGTCAATGTGGTGTTAATAAACCCAGAAAAAGCMATCAAACTTGCAGTGAATGATCAACTGAGGCAGATGTTTGGAGGAAGACGGTTAGTTTAGTTTTAAATTTAAAGATTTTTACATTCTTCTTGTTTTAGTAATAAAAATCATTGACACATTATTTTTGACACACAAAACCACATTTGAAGCTCTTTGAGATAATATTAACAATATTAATAATTTAAAAAATATAATTGRTATTAACACAGCCTGCCATGCTTATTATATCTGTTTCATATGATTCACTTTATCATCAATAAGGAATAATATTATCATCATTTCAGTATCACATACTACAATTAATAATGAAATAATYTTATATAATTAAAACTTATTTTACCATCAAAAATAATCTTTAATACAGGCATATTCTACCTCTACACCTTGAAATGATAGCTGGAGGTGCAGCAGGCTTTTGTCAGGTAAACTTGATGCACAACATTTATGATTAAAAGGGAATTTAAGAAAATGGTTAAAACTTTGTCTAGCCTCTCCAATGAAGCTCTCTCAAGAAAGGGGGAGGGAATGAGAGGAGGAAGAGAAGGGAGGAGTACTGGTCTGACACAATTCAGGAGGCATATAGTGCTCCTTTCACGTAAAACTGTCTGACATAAGGCATGCCATTCTTCATAGGATTGATCATGTACATGATGTAATTCTTAGGGGCATTTTATTTTGTGGGGGGAGGGGGAGGGGGGGTAGTGTGTCACATATGTCAAATTATTCATTCATCATGCTGTTGCAACAATTAAAGCACTGCAAAATACTAGGATTTACTATTTTCCAGTTCCCTCTCAAGATGGAGATTAATATTCGAGTTATTCCYTGTTCTAGGTTGTTATCACAACACCAATGGAGATGCTTAAGATACAGTTGCAAATGGCAGGAAAACCAGGTAAGTTTACAGATTTGAGATATAAAATTTATATATTACATTTGTGGTATACCAACAACTTGATTACACCCTAGTAATAAACTAACATTTCAGTGAAGCAGGTCAGGGTGTAGTAGCAACCTTCTTTTACAGGCAACCCTTGTCAATGTCAAAGGAGGCAGCATGGCCGAGTGGACTTTGAGGTGGTCTTGCAACCCAATGGCCGGAGTTATKTGTTGCCATGACCACACTCTGAYGATATTTGTCCTAAAYTTTGATTTGATCAAGTGAMTGACCATACTTGTAAATAGCCGATTGGTTTTCTTCTTTGCAAGTTGGGATTTTTGAGGGATTGGCTTGGGTTAGGTTACCATGGCAACCTGATGGTAGAGCCCCTATGGGGAGTGATGGCTGTAAAACTGTGTTTCATGTAAATTCCAATACTACCCTGTTAAAGGATTCTTAAGTTCAATTTACTGGAATGAATAATGAACTAATGTCTTTTTTTTGTATAGTTGTTGGTAAGACAGTAATTACCAGTACTGGATCATCAGTACCAGTCAGATCATTTGGTACTGCATCAGTAGCTGCATCAACATCAGCTCTTCAGATAACCAAAGATCTTATACAGACTAAAGGCATTAGTGGCATGTATAGAGGCTTGGGGGCTACATTACTAAGGTATCCAAATTGTTATATATATTATAATTATTGCTAGTATCGCCAGATTGCAAATCATCATTGGTTTGCAAGAATAGGTGGTTATATGTTGTCATTCGCATAAACAGATCAGTGACGAGCCAAAACATGTACAAGTTCTTGTGTTGTGGAGTTCTTGTGCACTTTGCTCACTAATGATCAATTATTTATTATTATTGTCCGAGAGAATGATACAGTAGTTGTTGAATGGAGAATGTAGGACTTAAAGGAGCTTATAATACAATTACGTAGKAATCTTATATATGGAATTATATGAAAGACATTTAGTTAGTAGATAATATGTTTCTTGATTGAACTTCAACAATCAAGTACACCTTTCAGTTMCCCTATCATCATTCACCAATCTTCATTACTCTCTCTAATAACCTTCTAATAGCTGTATTACATTTTGACTTCAAAATGACCGCAACAAAGTGGCCTTCTCTACATTGCAAAAACAATTTTTCTGTGGGGGGCCTATACAATTTAGTAAACTGCAATAACATTTTTATGGTATAATTATTAGTATTATCCAAAAGGAAAGAGAAAAATRCAAAAGGTTGCTTCTGGAACAAGGAGGCTGTGTTTGCGCATTGTGTATATCATATATTAGACAGATTAAAATTGCTGTAGTTTTCATCCAAACCTAATTTTTTTTTTGTTCACAGGGATATCCCATTTTCCTGTATCTACTTCCCAATGTTTGCATTTTTAAACCTTAAAGGAATAGATTCATTTGGAGGACGACCACCAATAGCATACACACTAGCAGCTGGCTGTTTATCGGGTTAGTATTAAATCATTATTATCTAATATTAAATAAATCATATTAAAAACATCACTGAATGAGCCAGTGGATATAACAATATCGACTAGTGCATTCAATTTATAATTTATAAGTAAAACTGTAACAGTTGCTTCTTTGGATTTTGTTTGGATTTATTCATCTGTGAAATCACTTCGATCTACAAATTAAGCAGCCAGTCTCTTTTTGTGCATAGCCTTATTTTAACTGACAACCATACCAGAAACATATAYATTATATAATTATATGACATATAGCTCAGTCCCTAAAGTAAAGTTTGAAAAAAAAAATGTCCAAACAAATTGTGAGGTTACTGTACATGTACATACAACAATATAAACTGTTTGACATGTAGTACATGATTGTAAAACATATCTTGGTATAACTCTGAGATTGAGATCATTATAAAGATTATAAAAAAATTCAAATTGTATTCCAGGTTTAACAGCCAGTGTAGCAGTAAATCCCTGTGACGTCRTMAAAACAAGACTACAGCTGTTAAACAGACCTCAAGGACAGCCATCATATCATGGTATCATAGACTGTGCTAGTAAAATATACAAAAATGAAGGATTCTCAGCATTCTACAAGGGTGCTGTCCCAAGAATGATAGTTATTGCACCATTATTTGGTATAGCACAGACCGTATACTTAGTGGGCGTGGCTGAGTGGATACTAGGGGTTGATAAACAAATGTGAAAATTCAATATGAAAAAAATAATATAATTATTACAGATGTTATTTACTGAGATATGGACAACAGAATTGCATTATGGGATGTTTGAGGGTTAACCTCTTTAATTTGAATTGCAAGCAAAAATTACTACGTAGAACACTTTGAGGCATTTGTACTTCAATAGGCAATTTTTAAAAGGTCTTAGACTTAATAAACCCCAAATCAACAGAGGGTACAGATTTCTGAATCAAGGCTCTTAATGCTAGAGTACATGATTATGCAGGAGATAAAACAACTGACAAAGTTTGCAATCAAATTATAAGAGATTTCTATTTTACAAAATAGAAAGACTGTTGAATTTGATGATAAACTTTGAAACGTTTTCCACTCAGGCAACTACTAGATAGGGAAAGCATTGTGCAAGTAACAGTTAAGCACATTAAACTACTTTTTGGGAGCACAAATTTTGATAAAAAAAAATGAAGAGACTGAATATTATTAAGAATTATCAATGACAGAGAAATCTCAATTTTACAATTTTTTATTGAGGTAAAGTGTTATAGCGGACTGCATGTGATTATAATCAGAAGTCATTTTTAAATTAATGAAAAGAGTGTGCTGGCAACTTAGTTTAAGCCATTAGACAGTGTTCTTTGTACAGTTCCCTGCACCATTTTGAAAGGTACATGTAATTAACATGGCTTAAAATAATGACCCTAGAGCTTGCGATGATAAATACCAGCCTGTGAATAATAATATTGTCTGTGTATAGATGTGAAAATTTTTTGGCTATATGATTGCACGCTGACAACAGTCGTCTTGTAATGCAAAGGCATGGCTACTTTAATTTCAAGATGGCACAGGGAACTGTGAAAGAAACTAGTCATGTATTTTCAGTATTGAGTGAAAATGATCTGCTAATCACATAGTTGCTCAGAGAGTCAGCCACAACACTTTTGACAAAAGACTGTAATTAGAGAGTTATTATGACAAAGATTGGGACAAATAATTTTATTAAAAGGGTTTTATGATTGGGTAAAATATTTAATTTTAATATTAAGAGTTTTGTACAAATTAGATAAAGATTATATTAGACGCTTTCTTACGTTTTTGTAAATAAGATAATTTATAATTGTTGTGAACCAAATAAATCACATTAAAAATGCAAGAGTTAGTGTTTCAAATAGATACTTACTAGATAG